GTTCCGGAGGTTACTCAACATCCGCTTTGACTTTGGTGATGATCTGCATGAGGAGCATACTCACAACCCGCTCTCCATTGATTATCTTTCACAGTTCTATGAAGATGGAAGGCGACACACCCATGGGAAAGTTGCAGGGTTGATGACTATTCGTAGTGTGGTGAACAGGATTGTGAGAGCCACCATTCTCCCTCGATGTGGGAATAATGATGATATTAAGGGGGTGGCTTGGCATGTGATAGATGCCATCATGCAGGGTCGTCAGTTTGATGTGGTGAACCTCATAATGCAAGAGATTGCAATATCCAAGGGCACGTTTAGTCAATGAATTTACCATGCGCCCTACATTATGAGGTAGATTCAAGCTCAGCTTGGGAGTGTTGGAAACAATCTAAAGAAGCATAAGCAATATAAGCCTCGTCTTCAGCTTGGCACTCCCCATACTCCTAGGATGAGGCAACCTTCTTTCCACCCTGGGGCAATCTCAAGCTCAGCACCTCCTCCTCCTCAAGGTATCAATGAGTACTTCACTCCTCCTTATGCATACTTTGGCATGCCTCCTCAGGACTATTTCAACTCGGTGCTTGGGGCTATAAATAGCTTAAGTGAAAGCATTCAAAGGCTAACTACCGAGCATGAGGGCTGAGGCAATGCATGAGGATGCGAGGGGCATTCGTTCTGAGGTTGCCAGGATATCCTCTCAAGTCACTTCTTTGGACCGGCGTATGACTACCATGGAAAACACACATGCCTATGTGTATTCTCGTTGCCGTGACCCTTCTTCCTCTTCGTCTCACTATCCTATACCCCATCCTCCCTCTATTCCTCAAGAATGAAGCTTTTTGGTCCTTGATGCCAAAGGGGGAGAAGAAATTCATCTATCTTAGGTGGGTTGGGACTAGAAGTAGTGAGGTTAGTCCTCATATCTATTAGGCTAAGTTGGGAGGGCTATATCTATATGTAATGGGCTATATTATCTATCTTGTGTGTTTTTATCGTTTGTTGAACTCTCTTGTGAGATTTGGGCCCTCCGTGGTCATGTAATAGCCTAGGTTATTATTTGTGAGCCCTCTTTGGATAATTTGTGACTTGGATGATCTATGGATGAACTTTTATGATTTGGATGGTTTATTGATGTGAACTTGTGCAATGATGGATGGTGGATGTGATTTTGATATATTTGTGACCATCCTATGCAATTGATTGATCTATATGTGAAGTTCACATCATATGTTGTATTTGTGTTGAACTATGTTGAAATGTGCATTTGTTCCAAATTTGTTCTTTGAGATTGATATGCACATGTTTAGGGGGAGTATTTTCTATACATTGAAAAATATATCCATGTGCTTTATATTTGATTATATATGTTTGAAGTGTTTGTCATCAATTACCAAATAAGGGGAGATTGAAGCATCTAGGCCCCCGTTGTTAGTTTTGGTAATTAATGACAAGCGCTAATTGTGGACTAACCGTTCTATCGAGTTATGTGTTTTGAGTTAGGTACACATCATGTGTGCGCATGGTTGATTATCGATGGACTAAAAATTGATGGCGCAAAGCAAAGTATAGATGACGGTAAACTAGTAGTTGAATTCTAAATTGATCGAGGTATTGGGCAATCAAACTGTGCTAGTTTATTTATAGCTTTGCCGTACTATTAAGAGGGGTAATGACCTAGCAAAGAGATGATTTAAATTTCCACATTAGGTCATTATGCATTTAGATTTGGCTTGCTCTCATTATCCTGTTGTGCCTGCTGTGTGACCAGGGCCGGTCAGACCGACCACCTAGTGGCGGTCTGACCGGCGTAGGTCAGCCGGTCTGACCGGCGGGTGAACCCCGGTCTGACCGGCCTAGGGAACCTCTCCCTGTGGCTCTCGGGGTGGCGATCCAGAGCCGCCAGAGCCGCATTCGGTCAGACCGAGCTAGGGGCGGTCTGACCGAGCCGAGGCCGGTCTACCACCCAACTGCGGTCTGACCGGCCAGGCCGATGGGGCCCAATGACAGCCCTACAACAACTAGAAAACTAGCCGTTGCAGAGTAGCACGGTCTGACCGGCCACACAACTCCGGTCAGACTGGCAGTACACAGAGTTGGGGGATTTCACCCCCCAACGGCTAGTTTTGGTGGGTGGGAGTATAAATACTCCCCCACCAGCAGCAAGGAGACTCTCTTGGCATCCACTTCAATTGTATACACCCCTTGCACCTCTCCCACACTCATTTGAGCTTGTGTTCATCCGTTGTAGTGGTTGAAGGTTGTTCTAGCCAAGAGTCAAGTGCATTGCTTCCATTGTAGAGCTATCTCCGAGCCGCGTCATTGCTTGTTACTCATGGAGGTTGCCGCCTCTTAGACGGCTTGTGGAGTAGTTGCCCGGTGACCTCTCCGAGAAGATTGCGGAGGAAGGCCGACGCTGGTTGTGAGTGGTTTGGAGTTCACCACCTTCGGAGTGAAGGAAGAACTACCCCTAGTGATCGAGGCTTGGGTAATCCTCTCCGTGGGCCGGTGTTGGTATTTCTTAACGACATTACTAGAAATATAATTCCCAGCAATGGCGCCGAAACACTCCTGGTATATTATGGTTACAGAGTTCATCCGCAAGCGCACGGATATACCATTGTAGCATTTTACCCGAGAGTATTTCAAGGGTATCGTATTTATTTTATCCCGTGGAAGATCATGTAGAGAGAACTCAACTAATAATTTATATATTACTTGTGATAATCATATTCTAAGCAGGGGTTAAGATAATCCAAGGGTAGAGTGACACACAAGCATTTCTACTCATCCTCGGTAATAATTTATCTAAGCTAGGTGGAAAAAAAAAGAGAAAAGAAATCTATTCCTATACTTCTAATATACATAGTATACATACATTCTAGTTAACTGATATACTAGCTAATACCCTCTATCCGATACCCTCCTGGTACTTCGAGAAGCCACGCTTGACTGCCGAGTTCCTTACGGCAGCCTGTCATGACCATCCAACCAGGGTTAAATACGGAGGAATACCCTCCCCAGGAAATTAACTTAGGATTATATATAGGCGCAGAGGAATACCCGTACTGAGCTGTCACCATCAGTGGCCCACCTCTCATCCGCAATATATAACCCCAAATAATGATATCTCGTAATCTAGACACCACGTCTAAACTACTAGATACTACTATAATATCATCATCATGACATAGAGTAATTGCATAAGCAAACACTATACCCGCACCAAAGCATCTCCCAGATAAGTTAGCCTTATATTCAGTATAACAAGAACATAATGTATAATAGTTACTCATATACTCGGAAAGTATTTCAATACCATAAATATATATAGAAGAGTATTCTAATAAAAGTACAAATCTTACAAAAGAGGAAAGGAAAGCTGCTAGAGCCATACCCGAACTCTTCTGAAGGCTTCCGGACTCCTGACTCATATTCTATTTCTATTACACCAGCTAGATACTACTAAACTAAACTTGGGAGGAATGAGAGAGCTATTGCTTGAGGTGTGTGTTGAAGTGAAGAGAGTGAGCTCCTTATACAGAGGTGGTTATGACGGTTGTGGAAGGGGAATTGTCCGAAGTGCCCTCCAACCGTCATTGGGATGCAATCCTGGACGTCCATGCCAAAACCTGGATCCAACGGTGCCAGGATTGGTTCGGCCGAACCTGGGGCTAGCCAATCCAGCCCAGTTTCGGCTGGTGGCCTCCTCTATTGCTCCACTCCGCAGACTTGTGAATTTTGGCCTAATTCATCGTGTCAATTCTGAGTTCTTGGCCTATTCACACACAAGTCTGGTTCTCGACATCGTCCGATTGATTTATCGTCCGAGTTGATGTCGATTCTCCTCTACTTCATAATCATTCTCTGCAAAAAGTTAGTAAACCTAATACTAGTTGAGCGGTGGAGTTGGGCTCGCCTCAACAGGGAGTAGGAAATCGGCGAATTTCCGAACCTCGGTAAAAAATCTTTTGTCTCCTTGTCTCATTTATTTGTCGCATTTACAGTTGTGCAATTTACATTCCTAGAGACATACTTGAGATCATATCACTCTAGGATTGCTAAACTTAACTTAGGAGTGTGATTTACTTTCTTAGAGATATACTTAAGCCACTATCACCCTAGGTTTGTAAAATATAACTTAGTTGCTTAATTAGACTTAACCCTCACTAAGCCTAGCAACTTAGGTTAGTTTTGATTAGGTGCCATTCATTTTTAAATCGTCTATTCACCACCCCCCCTCTAATCGACATCTTGATCCTATAATCTGTTGATACCTAGACATCAACTTCTCCCAAGTTAACTCCAATCTATCACCAGCAATACTCTCCCGAGGCCTCAAGCAACACCTGCACATGTAAAACAACCAAGAAACCATATTCCGAGCACAAGTTCGTCCCAACTTGACTCATATTAGTATAACAACAATATCCATATGCATAGAAATCATCTTAAAGTCAAATCCCTAAAGGAAACATCCATATCCAATAAGACAACCTGAAACCGACAACGGTCAAGATCCCACCGGTCAGACCATTGGTTTGGCTGGTCTGATCGCCAGGGTCAACCGAACACTCTCACTTCACAAAATCAATCGTCTATAAATCTCCAAAATTTCATCAGCAAACAACCAATATTTTCATCACAAAATCTAAATCAACTTCTTGATTTTACAGTAAGCTACATCTATAAAATCTTACTTCAACTTCCAGGCATATGCTTAGGATCAATGGTTTGAAAAGGGTTATTTCGAACACTTTACCAACTTCAAGTCCTCATTTTCCTCACATGCACATCTAAACTGTTAAATGGTGTGTTTTTTAGAAAAAGTTTCTATAAAAAAGTTGGTTAAAAATTTACATTAATCCATTTTTTAAATATTTTAAAATACTTGATTAATCATGCACTAATGAATTGATCCGTTTTGCGTGCTAGGTGGGAAGGTTCCCAACCATAGCTAACGGACACAACCTAGATGATCACACTATAGGTAGAGCTCATTGTCTGAAAATGCTTCGCCGTTCCATATTATTACATTCCAACATTTCAATGCAGAAAGCGTGATCAGTTACACAGCATGACCAAATTGACGAAAAGTTTTATACGTCCCATATCAATGTACATGTATATACTTTGCACGTTAATTCAAGGTTGATAACGCAACACACCTTCGGTTAATAAAGGACCGATCACCTTTAAGCCAGTAATTTAGCAAGTTCATCTACTCTTAAGGTACCCTGTGGAACAACATCTGATAGAAATTCTCGTGCGTGATCATTTCTCTGCATTCTTGATCCTCCCATGACAATTTCTTTCTTTTTGACATGATCAGATACTTTATGTTCTTCAAGATGCTTATTTATCCTTACATTCTTGGCTGGCTCAGTCTTCTGGGTACCATGGGACTTCCTTGGTGTATGCCGGAGTACCAGGTATCGTGGAGCCGTCTTTGTAAAAGCAACAGACTTTTGATACACATAATTGGCATCAGCAAACTCATTTTCATTCAGCACGAGTGCCATGCCACTGTCAATGGCTTGTTTGAAAAGGAGTAAAATTCCTTCCATGTAGGAAGGGACTATGGAATCACTGTTAACACCATCGCTGCCGTTTAAATGTTTGCAGTTTCTCCTCATAGTTTCCAATTCATGAATCTCATCACTGCTGCCCATTAGACAAGTTAAAGCTTCTGGTACATCTGGAGATTGTTCCGAGTTTCCACATCTGTCAGGGTACATCTCAATGAGCTCTCCATTTTCACTCTTGTCCAATAGGGAGCTTTGGCAATACAATGTTGATGTTTGAGATGGATCTAAATCCCTTGCTGAATTTGAAGGAGAAAATTCAATTGGAGCATCAGCTGAGGACTCAGTTCCATCTATACCTTCAGAGTTGCATACTCCAGGGTTTCCACATGCAGAACCCAAAATCATACCATTTTCAAAACTAGACTTCATGGAATCTTCCAATTTTTCTGCACCTTCAATCAAGTTGCATTTCTTGAGAGACGTGGCATTGTTGACCAGCTCAATTGGGGTCAGAGCACTTCCAGAACCTGCTTCTTTGCTATTCAAAATTTGGTCGCTCGCCACTTTAAAATCATTTTCTTCTAATGGAGGAAGGGATGATTTCCAATCATTTCCTCTCCACATCAGTATATGTTCAAACTCAAAAGACAGTAAGGTACAGGGAACTAGATCCTGCAAAGGTAGAATTAATCATGTTTTGAACAAAATAACATAACGATATAATATTCTGAGCATTTACCAAACCTTAAGTTTAGCTCCTATCTTTCTGCAATCACTTTTATTAAGACCTGAGCAATCAACCCGGACAAGATCACATGCTTCAAATGCTTCTCGAACTTGCTTCACGAGGTTAAGATAAACACCATTTTTTCCTTTAAAAATTTTTAAAAAAAATGGAATGTAAACAATGACAACAAACTGCACAAACATGGAACAGTGCTATGCAAGAAGATGGGCTAATGTGGATAGACAATATGTACCACACTCAGCAAAAGAAGCAGCATTGGTTCAACTGTAATTCCACATTTCAAGTGTTTCTGACAAATAAAAGTAGTAGTTTCATGTTCGACATCAACCTCCCTCAGGTACTTCCTATTTTGGACATTACTCTTGGCTGCAAAGGCACTAATATTTTCAAAAATAAACTTTGGCAACTAGCGCATATATTTTTCATTCTTTTAACTATGAAATTTGCAGATTCCACAATTTGAAAGGCAGTTAAAGGAGTCAACTACATGGAAACAAAGAGACTTACCGAGTTTGCAAATTGGTGGTAACTGACGTCCTCTCTTGCGCATATCTTCTGCCTCATCTGGAGTTAAGCCGTCTGGGATCTTTTTAACCAAGCGGGGGTACACTGGTGCAGCAGGTTTCCAAAGCATAAGTGGATAGATTGGGCGAGTTCTGTAATTGTAGTTTCTACCACGAAAGAGAAATATCACACCACCCTGATGATGAATTACTTTTCCTCCAACTTTCTCCTGCTCATGTATGATATGAAGTAATCAGGGAAGAGTCACAGATAAGGTGCTCCCAGATATGGAAATGGAAAACAGAAGTTCAAGCAGAAAGGAGTTCACTAATGAATAACCAGAGCTAAGACAACTTCTAAATTCTATTAGTTTCAGATGAGTTACTAGAACATTGGTCCATAAAGAAAAAAAAAATAAAACAGTCACCAATTTAACTGAGTAGTACACCGTATGCATTTTAAGAATTCTGAGGTAAGTAGCAAAATTTGACCTCTAGCTGCTGGCAGACATTATCCATATCAACCGTGCATACACCTTTGCATTTTATCTTGCACACTCTCTTCCTCTTCCAATGCGAATGAATGTTCTCCAACATATTGTGTGTTAGACCATCTCTACCTGCAAAAGTTGGCAATGAGAGACTGACTAGGAATACAAGAAAGGGCTGACAAAGCGGCTACATGATAAGAACTAAACTCAAGAGATAAATGTCACGGTGATCGGTGAGTATAATAACAAAATATACTTATTTTTCTTTCTCCATCCCCTTCCTTGTTAAAACCTGTAGTTTTGTGATAATGGAGACACTAGATTTATCGTTTTGTGATAAATGAAGACACTAAATATGTAGTTTTGTGATAAACGAATACACTAAATCTATAGTTTTGTGAAACAAGTTCTTAAATCTGTAGTTTTGTGATAGATTGTACAATAAACGGACATACTAAATCTGTAGTTTTGCGAAAGCTCTTAAATCTGTAGTTTTCTGATAAATTGTGCAAAAATACCTGTAGTTTTGTGAAATTTACTCAATATTTATTATTGATCTGGCTTTGTAAAGAAAGCCAAAACACATAGAGCACGAGTCTTTTATAGGAAAGAAAACAAAAGAACACAGACAGACATAACAGGGTACCAGAGCCCAAGGGGGAAACAAATCTTGCAGACATTTATCTGTCGAATTAGTTGATGTTCCATGTGTACAATTGAGTGATGCTGCATCAGATGCAACTCACCGATATTAAGCTGCCGCTTGGTCTTGAGGGTCGCCTTGACGAGCTCGTCGACCTCCTCCTTTGTGAGAGGCTCCCCGAGGACCTCCTCCCTGGACGCCGCTTGGTACCTCGGCTCCGTGCCGGCAAGGAATGGCCCCGGCGACTGCACGGGCTTCACCCCCTTCTTGCCCGGCGGCGGGAGCATGAAGGAGTCGAACTCAGGCAGTTCCTTGCGGCTCTTGGGGAGCGGCTTCCTCCCGGTCCATGGGCGCGGCGTTACCTCAGGCCCGAACGGCAGGAACGGGGCCTCGCGGAGCGCGACGGGGCGCGCGCGCGGCGTCTCTGTGTAACTGTACTGGAACTCGAAGGGCGCGCCGTCAAGATGATAGGCCAGGCCACGTTCAGTGACGCGGACACCGGCGGCTGGCTCGCCGTTTTCCGGGATGGGGACTTTCTTGGGACGGCCGCGGATGACCGAAGAGAAGGCCGGGTGGGAGGGGGCGGGGGCTCGGCGGCGCTTGGCGACGGCGGCTGGTTGCTTGTGGTGGGAGAGGGAGAGGCGGAGGTTGGATGGGAGCCGTGAGATGGGGTACTGGGCTTGGACGAGGAGGGAGCGAGAGGTGAGGTGGCTAGTTGCCATGGGTGTTGGGGAACAGGATAGATAGGATTAGGTCCTCCGCCCACAGGATAACATCGGGGGTATCGAACCGGCGTCGAGGCCGGCGGATTGGGCGCCGGAGTTCGGGTGGAGCCGGAGCAGACAAACACGGGAATGTACACGCTCTGAAAAAAATTGCAACGGGTAAATGTATTTTTCATAGTGAAACAACACCTATTATAAACTGAGCAATAACTTGAAATATTATGATTGCTATACACTATAATGAAAAAGTTAATCAAAATTTTTTCTTGGTTTTGAGCCAAAAGCCCATTAAGTTTTTCCTTTTCAGTCCTAGCACAGTCTATTCCTACCTTTTTTCGCTCGGCCTGCCGCTCTTCTATCCCGTCCACAAATAGAGTCGTAGACCAAGCTAGCACGGCCGGCTGCCTCACTCAGCGTCTAGAACCTTTGAAAGACAATCCTTGTATGACAATTCTTGTGTGCCCTTATATCAAAATCCAGTTGAGCCTTTTTTTATCTCCTAAAATTGGTTGAGAGTTATTTATCCACTTGATCTCCTCTTTCCATTTCCCAAAATCAGAGCAAGTCCGCAAAATTAGGGATAACAGTCGCCACGGCTGGCTCAATTGTTCAAGACAATGAAAATTTCCAAAAGTTCACAGCCATCGGCCACACAGCCGATGGCAAGCTAGCCGCCAGTAATTCCTTCTCAGCTAATGTCATGCCCAGAAATTCCCTACCTGAACTCCAAGTAGAATGTGTAATAAAATCTCTGTCCAGGACCAGCTAGAGTACACAAACGATAATTTGATAAACAAATCCACGTCTTACAAAAATAATAAATAATTTTTACAAATGCTATAGAAATAAACAAATAATCTAAACTTAATCTTCACGACCAAAACACGTTGCTTCCTTCATAACCCACAGGGATCCTCAATGTCCGGAACAAGGTATGATGCAAGATATTCACAAAGGATAGGCTATAGGATATTTGCAACAAAAGCAGCATTTATAAATCATAAAGTGAATACAATAAAACAATAATTATAATTAAGCAATATTAAAAATCACTGCTCAACGCTAAACCACGTTGCAATAGTCCCAACCAAACCACCTTAACTACACCAGTTAATTATGTCATATTAACTAGAATGAGACTAATCACGGTGAGCTGGTTGACCGCCCAATAACCGCAGGCTCGGCTATTCGAATAGTTTTAACTCTGATCAGAGGAGTACAACTTTACTCACAAGACACGATTCTACATATGTTACCATGCCCCAAAGTACCACCGCGATACTGCAAAGGGGGAAATCATGAAAAAACCCTTTATATAACCCTCCCTAACCAAACATACCCACCTCAGGTTTCACCCCCTCCTTTTTAGGGATGGACATCGAGCTGGCTCGGCTCAGCTCGGCTCAGTCTAGCTCGTTAGGATAACGAGCTATAACGAGCTAGCTTGGCTCGTTATCCTAACGAGCTAGAACCCCATCTCGGCTCGGCTTGCCTGCAAGCTCGAGCTAGCACGTTTGGCTCGTGAGCCAAGCTAGTGAGGTGACGAGGTGGAGCCATGACTGCTGCGTGGGGCGACGAGGTGGGGTACCGCGACCTCCACGACTTTGTTGCCCAGTGAAGGCTACTGGCAACAGGCTAGCTAGGTCAACGAGGAAAAAGCACACGAGGAATATCCGACAGAGGGGATATGATGGCGTGGTGTGGCAGTGCTTCAACCGGCGAAGCAGAGGTTGAGTGGCAGAGGTCGAGTGCCGCGAGGCAAAGCCGGTGAAGGAGACGGCGAGGAGAATCTGAATAGGGTAGGCGTCGATGGTTGGGGGCCTAGAACGGCACTACGAGAAGATATGATAATCAATGGCAACGCGAGATGAGAGAATCGGCAAGAGGGGAACGAGAACAAGGAAGCAGCGTCACTAGGTGAACGAGAAGAGAAGGAATCAATTGATTCGATCCAGAGTTGGAGACATCAGACAAGTAAATGAGTAAAGGACTAGATGCTACAGGGCTATTTGCATTTTTCCTTCATGGGCTTAGCCACTTCACTTGGGCTCGTTGGCTACATACGTGGGCTCTGTTGGTATTTCTTAGCGACACTACTGGAAATATAATTCCCAGCAATAGCACTAGAAATACTCATGGTATATTATGGTTACAGATGTGATCCGCAAGCGCACGGATATACCATTGTAGCATTTCACCTGAGAGTATTCCAAGGTATCGTATTTATTTTATCCCAAGGGAAGATATGATAAGAGAGTACTATGCTAATAGTTTATACGTTACTTATATACATCAAAGTCAGTTCAAAGGGTAGGGTGACACACAGAAGAAAGAACTAACAACTACTCTCTCTAAAATATAGTCTAAGCTAAGTGGTGAAAGAATAAGAAAAGTATCATTCATGTACTTCTAGTATACATACATTTTTAGTCTATACTTGCTATTATACAGTCATGCAACCAATACCCCGTACCCAGTGTTCTCTTGGTGTTTCGAGAAGCCACCCCTTACTGCCGAGTTCATTACGACAGCCGTCATGACCATACAACTGGGGCTAAATACGGAGGAGTACCCTCCCTAGGGAATTAACTTAGGATTATATACCGGCGCGGAGGAATACCCGTACTGAGCTGTCACCATCAGCGGCCCACCTCTCATCCGCAGTATATAACCCCAATTAATGGTATCTAATAATCTAAGCACTGCGCTTACATTACTAAATACTACTCTACATCCTTGCAACCGACACAGAGCAACCGAATAATCGGACACTAAACCCACACCAATACACCTATTTGGAAAGCTAGTTACACGACTATATTGATTCAAGTATAAAGTAAAGTCGGCACTCAAGTAATATGAATGGAATAAAATACTGAACTTGTATAAAGAAGAATATGCTATTAATTCAATAAGTCTTACAAAAGAAGAGAGGAAAGCTATTAAAGCCATACCCGAAATCTCCTAAAGACTCGAGGACTATGAAGATTATTCTATTTCCTACTCCACTAGCACTAGAACTACTAAACAATACTTGAGAGAGCTCTTGATCTTCTTCTTGAGGTGTGTGAGGGAATGAATGAGAGGAGGGGTATTTATAGGTGGAGAGGTGCCTTGGGAGTGTGGAGATGCTCCAAGCATCCAAGGAGCATATTTGCTCTCCTCTTGACATGTGGCATGATGAAGCATCCAAAGAGCATCTTTCTCCCTCCTTGTGACAAGTGTCCACGGTGGTTGCTTCAGGTAGAAACGGTCATAACCTCCATTGGATGTCGATAACTACCGGCCTGCGGAATTAACTTTGCATGTTTTGTCAAAGCCTAGATGCAAGCTAAGGTCTTTTCGAGAAAGGTGATATTCCTTGCGGAATAACCGGGAAGTACACCATCGCCTACCTCTAGCAAGGTACATAAAAACTGCATGGTAAGCAAACAGGAACCCAGCTCATCTACCATGCAAATTTATCCCATCCTACAGCACGCCAAACAGTATGAAACTCAGCATCCATACCTATCCTTTTCAGAAGGTCGAGTTGTATGCTTAGGTCTGAGCACACGTTCGGTCTTTCAGCATATGATAGGCTTGCATTTCCCGGTCACCCACGAGGTCGAGATCGGAGTTGTTGTACAGCCTCGGTGGAACGTACGCCTCCTCCATGGATGCATCCGCTGAAGAAGGTGTACTCGGCTTATCGTGTTGGCTTGTCCGTGAGCTTGATTGTCTCTTGAATATGCCCGGAAGTCTTTCTTCATAGCTACAGCAAAGAGCAAGAATACAAGACTGCTCGGACAGGGGTTAAGCAAATACCCGCCGATTAACCTTGCACTGAACTAAAGCAAACTTGTATATGCAAAGTGTCTAAACTAAATGCAGCAAATTGTGTGAATTTGAGGCAAGCTTGCAAAACTTTGAATGAATTTTGAGAGGAAGGTTTTGAGAGGGAGTGAGAATGAGTGGTGTGACTTCCCTCTCCCATCCGAGCTTCATATATAGTGCATGGATAACGGCTAGTAATGGCATATGGGCCCCACTAGCCGCTACCCTACAGATATTTGCAGCTAGCCAGTGCCATGCAGGGGTTCGGCCGAACCCCTGGTGGACCCAACCGGCCCCACATTTAGCCATTGGGTTCCAACGACTAGTGTGGTGGTGGCCGTGCAAAATTTTGCCAACTTGTTGTTGTTGCATCATAGTGTTGAAGTTTGCGAGCTGTGCACCAACAGAGTGCTACCATTCACGTGACTGTACCACATGATCCTCCAAGGTGTGTTGCTCGTTCACTGCCTGCAGTTCAAGTGTATCCGTCCCCCGGATGAGTTCTCCTAGACCCCCCTCGAGAGGAGACTGAGCAATGCATCCAAGAAGATGGAAGTTGACCACTTGGACTGAAGGAGCGTGAGTATCCCCAGTGCAACTCCTATGGCTCATGCCACCGGCTGTCGCTGGCACTCTGCCAGGACGAACCTCCGGTGTCATGTTGCATGAATTGGGTCCAATCAAGGGCATGCACGGTCGGGTCCCAACTGTCTAAATACATCTGCTCTGGTGGTGAAGAGGAAGACGCCTCCTGAGGTGCTTCTCTCGCCATCCGTCATGTTACCTGCATAGGACATCACAAGGCAACTCCGCTTGGAGAGAAATGGTTAGTTCTTGGTAGTTATACAAATGAAACTCCCGTATAGGTTACGGAATCTCATTTGTATAGCCAGGAAACAAAAATATAAGAGAATCATTTGGACCATGTTTGAGTATGTGGCATTGAACCAAGTAGGCCTCACCAACATAAGAGCGGGTAGCAGGGATACAAGATACTTGCATATAAAGCATAGTCCCAACTCCTCATGCTAAATGAGTCACCAAATAAATACACTCAACAGGACTAGACAACTTCACATTTTCTAACCATTGCTTGATCATGGGTTGAACAGGTGAAACTCTGATTTTTTTTCTAACCATGGCATACAAGAGGATAAGTTCGTCCTATCCGGATATCAGCTCTAGGAAACAACACAAAACCAAGCAACCTATGCAATAGCCCCAGGGTAGGATTATGGATGTCACTAGTTCTAGGCTTTTTACAGGATGAGACCCGAAATACTTTGCTAAAACATACGCTTGTTAAAATCAGGAAATGTGTTCCTGAAATTAACCTTGCATGTTT